TTTTTTTTTTTTTTTTTTGGAGAACGGGCGAAAATCCGTGCGCGCGCAGGATGTCATCCATAAAATTAAAAAAGTGTGGCCTAATTTATTAAAAAATATGGGAGCACAACCACACATAAGTGGACACAACCTCTTACCCCTGAATTCTTGAACAAACATGGCGCCGTAACATACTGCTACGACAAACACCATGCATAGGATTTCTAGACGGAAGGCAAACCATCTATTAATGGCTAAACTCATAAAACAAGCTGCAGTATGGCGATCCTGATAGCGATCAAAACTGCGTAGAAACCGCTCTTCAGACCCAAATGCTCGAACCGTCCAAATTCCGCGTAAGGTACTTGTGAGGTGATTGTACAGAGGTGCCCTGGCTGGAGGAGAAAGGAAAAAATTTTAGCACACTGTTTACAAGGATTAAGATATCTGATGTTATCAAAACTTGATTTTATTTATTAACTTGATATTTGCATAAACTAAGTATCCTGGAGGAAGTTTCACAAAAAAAAAAGTAAATCAGTTCCCTTGCTTATAAGTTGACTAAGATTTCCAAAAGAGTGCGTTACACTGCTCCCCATAAAGATGTGACCATGTAACCATGGTGATCAAGTTCTTAGCCAGAGAAATGGACTTAAGTTTTTTTTTTTTTTTTTTTTTTTGTGAAACCAGGGCCAGTTCCAAAATTTGAAAGAGGTAATTGACCATTAACATGTGAAACCTACCATTTAATAATATGCATGTGAGAAACACTCAAATTAAATTAATTTTGGGTCAAAATTCGGTCAAAGTACACATAAATTTTGTATCTTTCAACAATATCTCTCTTGCATTTTAAAACAAAATTAAACCTTTCAGGCCCGAAGTTGCACAGTTTTGCAAGCTTCTGATAAAATTATCCAAGATTCCCACTCATTCAAAAGGCAGTGAATAACTTTTAATAAAAAATTGCATTAATTTTGTATATCATTCAGTATAAAATCTACAGCATGCCATAAGAAGTTTGGCATAAATAATACAATAGAAAAAGCCCTTACATTCATATTCTATAGCTTTGATGTCTTTGGCTGTTTTTATATAGTATTTTCGGGCACACAAAAAGATGAGCAGAAGAGGAACTGACACCAGCAGAACCCAGAAGTTCACTGCTGCAGCAACAATAACTGCAGACAGCATGATTCCTAAACACTGAAAGAAAAATAAGTTGTATTATTAAGCAAAATATCTATAACACATATTTAAAGTTACATATGAAGTCAAATATATGCAACTAAGCCTGACCAAATTCCACCACTTAATTTCAAACAGCATAACTTAATTAGAGAATGGATATCATTTTACACTTCCCAAAACATGAACTCTGAGAGGTATTTTCTGCTTTTTTACTGTGCCTTATAAATATAACCCTTGGTCGTTTTTGCCAGCCCTGACTTAAATTTGCTATTGTGCATGCTACTGTCACTTAAAATGGCTATTTCGAATTTCCTCATAAAGTGACTTGTAACAACTTTATACCTTCTCATTTAAGAACTGTGTGCAACTTTGATTTCTTTCGAAATGAATGAAATATCCAACATTGTTATCATTTGAAATGAATGAAATAAATCTCTGTAATTTAAATTACATGCACCAGGGTTTTTTTAAAACAATTAAAGCACTATAAGGTTGATATTGTAATCTAAAAAAGTTTTACAATCTAATAGCATGGTTTACAAGCAGCAAAAAATAAGAAATTTACAACAAGGAAAGAAAATGTTTTAAAGATCTTCTAATCTTTTTGTGGGACCTACACATTTCCCTCACCTGTACAGCATCAAAAAAACAAATAGGCAGCACATTGTCTATAATGTTCATGTTCTGCGAGAAACAAGTGAGCAACTTGATAGGATTGTGCTCCGAGAAAGAATCTAGCGTCGTATACAGCATGGCATGAAATACCCTTTGGTGGATCTTTTTTGCTGACCGGATGGCCATGTAGAAGAAGGTTAGAGCACCATGGACGCTAAGCAGTAAAACACCCGCGGTGAGGCCAGCGAACACATAGAACTTCACCATTATATTGTGGGGGTTCATGGGGGAGATGGCTGTGGTGCTGTTGTACATATTGAGATCCTCAAGAGGCTTCTGTCCATTTATTTCCCCTGTGAAATCTAGGGACCTGTTATAAATAAATAAATAAATAAAAAGGTCTATTGACCTCTCATCTGAGAGATCTTCTGAGAAGACCCAAAGCACATTCATTTAATTTTATCTCATTATATAGCATATCTCTTGATTTTTCAAAACTAGAAATGCACTGAAAGAGTGAAGACCTCTGCTAAGGCAGCTTAATTCTCATTAATATTTAATTAGCTAAATAATGGATTAGTAAATAAAACTGTGGATTCTGAAGGCACTTTGCTAAGACAATTTGAAACTGGTATTCGTTTCTATAATGATCAATTCAACACTGAATTATCTTAGGAGATTTACTTTGTTTAAATCTAATTCACATCTAAATTTCAATGGTCATTATGCAGACTAACCAGTAGGCTAACCACCAGTCACACATCACATAGGTAGATTGCATGACAAACCACACGAGAAGAAATACTGCCATCCCAACCACTCCCCCACCAAGGTAAAAGTAGCGCAAGTAGACAGCGCGCCCTACTGGCTGGTCATGCTGGGAAGAAGAAACCTGGCTATGTGTCTCAAGCTGAAGACTTGCAAATTCATCCTCTTCCTGCAAATCAAAAGGAAACATTTCACTTTTGCCAGCTTGTACTTTTGTGAATGCAAGTTCTCAGAAGGGAAGAGATTCAAATATTTTAATTTAAAATTATTCTACCATTGCTATTCTAGATCCCATTCCCATTCCCATACCTAGATCGATCTAGCCACCCTCACAAGTCTTTATAGAATGTTCATTGTGTAGGCCAAATATTGGTAGCCATGTCTTAATATTCACTACACTTGTAAATACAATGTATATGTATATATCACATCTAAGCCACAATTAAGGGGCACTATCATATTTTTTCAATTCATATTGCATTAACCAAGTAACTGGATACACCATGCAATCCAGTATGAAAAGACTTTTTGTTGATAACAAAAAAGTGACACTAATTAAATACAGTTCATAAAGAGTTAACTGAAATAGAAAATAAATTTACGGTGGCTTTTATTCAATTTATTCCAGTACAATGTCCTTTTAATGGCAAGAAAAAAAATGGCATTCAAAACATTATAGCCTCATATATGTACATGTTGCAGCATTTCTTCCAGCAGAGAAAAATGAGTACGTATTACTTTTGAACATAACACTGAGTGTATAAATCATTAGGTAGTCTAAGCTCACTCCACCATGTTGACTTCATAATTTAGAGCCAATTTCAATTCAAATCAAACTGAAGGTAAAAAATTATTATAAAACATCCTTTTTATTCAAGTAATTTGCCATTGACTACGTTTACAAAATCAACTCATATAAAAAATCTTGGAGTGAAAAAAAACAAACAAAATTTAACTAAAATTTTGAAATTCGAATGGCTTCATAAAAAATAATGTTAGAGTGAGTTTCTACCTTCATCATTTTCTCCAGCTCCACATCCATATCATCTGTAGATTCCAGCACCTGTTCAGAGCGCAGCTGGATGACCGTGGGCAGTGCACTGTCCACTATACTGTCCTCAATGGTCAAGGATTTCTCTACATCCACCAGGCCACAGTCCCCGAGGACTTTTTCCAGATCCACCCCTTGGTTGATCAAGTCCAGTGGGTTACCAAGGAGACGTATGGCACCCTGAAATACAAGATAAAACTTCTACGTTTAATTTTCATACTAAATGTACATACAGAGTTACCAACCTGAGATTCAAAGAGTTAATGAAATCTCATCTCTGTGATCGCATTCAGAATAGCGGACAAACAGATCCACAGATCAAATAGGGTGACCCGCTGAAAAGCTTGCCACTTTATTCCCGATTAGACATTTAATAGATTCCCCACAAGCACGCAAGCATTCAAGTGGGTGGGCCACGGATCTGTTAGTTGGCTGTTCTGAATGTGCTCTATTATCAGCATGCCCCTGATATTCTCAGTCACTGGAAATGACAGATATGCTGATTACAAATGCTGATCAAGCAAGATCTCTGAAACACAGGGTGGGGTAATAATCTCGTTAAGTGCATTTTTTATGCAGTTTTCAGCATGCACAGTTTCCACAGGTGGTACTTTATCATGTATAACAGATACACACATTTAAGATGCCGAAAAGTTGACAACTGTTACCCCATTAAGCAAAATTACAAACTGACCAAGACTTAAAAACACATCATCAAAATCTTCCATGGAGCACTCTTTACTTTCGGATATAAATGGTGGAAAATGTGTTATCAAACAGTTAATTCTTCAAATAAATCAACCATAGATGAAATGAGCTGTATTCTCAACATATCAAGTATCGCTCCCATTATTGTATTGTTCATTGTTTGTTCTTGGTCATATCTTAAATATGATAGCAGCTGTTCTTCACACAATTAACTTAAACATGCTCTCTTGCCATCATGATCTCTTTTCAAGAGAAATTTTAGATCAAATTTCCATGCCCATACCTAGATCGATGTAGCGGGATCAGTCCATCTCCCAGGGGATTCTCACTAAATTGCCCTCCACTTAAGCAGGCACGTCTAGTGAAGCATATCACTTAAGCAGCTTCAGTAGGCATGCCAGACATCCAAGCCATTTACGCAGAGTGCTCTTTAGCAAGAATCCCCTTGGAGATAGACCAATCCCACTAGATCAATCTAGGTGTGGTAATGGGGTCTTAGCCTCCTTCTTTGAAGGATTCCCTTACTTTAACCATCTTCCCTCAGACTTACTTGTGTCAACACTAAGATCTGCTCAGCTGCTCGGAGGTAGTGTATACGGTTGGTGACTAGAATTACAGTTTTATCTTGAAGTAACTGGCAAAAACAACTGAAACAGAATTGTTATTTTCATTAATATATATATAACAAACAATCGAGAATTTTTATTTCAATTAAAACATGAATTTCTTACATGTATGAGCTTTTTGTATAAACAGCTTTCACAACTGAAGAAAAAATATGACATTTAATGTATACTGAGCGAATTGTTATCAGGAAATACCACTTAAAAATAATTTTAGTTACCTGTTGAATATATGTCTTCCAGTTTTTACATCAAGGTACTCAAAAGGATCATCAATCAGATAAATATCTGCCTGGTGATATACAGCTCTGAAAAAAATAAAGGGGTGACATCATCTGTATTGTTTTAGACCCATTAAAAAATCTATTCACAATTCTGTCCTTTCACCCTGAATTTCAGGGTTTACTACAGACCCCCCTTTAAAATCAGTATGCCTCTGCCATTTCCAGCAGTAAACGCAAGTTTCCAATAATCTCTGAACCTCAGGATGTGGATGCTTTTCATTTGCTACAGAACAGATTTTTCACATTTACTTTATCAATTATATGAAATTTTATTGAACAGGGGGATTATATTAATGAAAGCTATAAGTTTGGTGGAGGGGAGGGGAGGAGGTGCTTGCACATGGCTGGTAGTTGAGAGAGGCTCTACCTCCATGTAGTGATATGTGGTGAATGACCTATGGTCCCAAAGTGATTGGGTAATCACTTAGAAGAGAGTGTCAATTTTTTCTCATGAAAAATCTGAAAAATCTAATTTTATCTAAATTTAAATCATGAGAAGAGTTTGCAGCAGCATCTTGTTTATAAAGAATAACTTACATATTTACATATTATTTGCTACCAGTAGTTTTTTCACTACCATTTTTCTCAATTCCAGTTCTAGACATACAATTTAATAACTTGGACTATTTGTATCTTGTGTCCAAAATTATGATGAAGAGGATGAAAGTCCAGTAACTGAATCAAACAAAAAGTACAATGGTTCACCTCGATGTCCAACAATCCCCATAAACTCACCTGGCCAAGTTTAACTTTGCCCTTTGTTCCACTGTGAGAGGCTGACCACTCTCTTCTCCAACGATGGTCAAGTCTCCATCTGGCAGACCTTCAAGCTCCTATAATATGGATCAATTTATAGTACAATATGGATTCATCCTATGGCCCACATCTGGCCTAGATCACAATTGATTTTGTGATTAAATATATACAGCAACATTGAAAAGAGAAAGATGTTTCATTGTTTAATTTGTTGCTTAATAATTGGAGTTTACAATTCATCTATGCATATACATGTTGCATACATTCAGTCATTCAATTATTCATTCACTTCTCAAGTGCAGCATCATGGTGAATTTGAAAAACAATCCATGACTTCACAACTGAAATCTATTTTTCTTAAATGTACACTTATGTTATCAAATCTTACAACTGTTAATTTAAGGCCCATTTACACCCTTAAAAGGAAATATTTAACTGAAAATTTTAATGTATGTGTTATTTGAACTGATACCTCTGTCAGCCCACATGCCTCGACAGCCTTGGTATAGCGCAGTTTGTCCCACTTTGAACCAAACAAAATATTCTCCCTGATGCTGGCAGAGAACATCCATGGTCGCTGTCCACAAAAGCTGATTTTCCCAGACACCCCCATCTGCCCCCTCTGTTCAGGTATCTCTCCAAGGATTGCCATTAGAAATGAGGTCTAGGAGGGAAAATATGATATGCGACTACAGTCTTACTGGTTTCAGATCACTGAATGCCATTAAAAACAAAGCACATACTTGTGAAGATTTATTTTTTATTTATATCCAATAGAATGATTTTATACAACACCTCAAGATATTAGTCTGAAAAAAAATTGAAGGTAGTGTATCCAAAAAATATAACATTAAAATTTGTAAAACCCTCCAAAACTGATTTTCTATGGACTTTGACCTAACTTTTTATTAAATCATTTATACATATTTTGTCTTACTCAGAAATATGAGAAATATTATCATCCATCATGGATATTGAAACCCTACACATTCCAACAATAGGAACAAATGTACACCCTAGAAAAAGAAAAACTAAACATCAGAATTTTCCTACCTTTCCACTTCCTGAAGCCCCTGCCACCACCAACAACTGTCCTCTCTTCACTACCACTGAGATAGACTCCAAGGTAGAAGGGGTGGGCTTCTGGAAATACATCATTTACACCTGAAATGTTATATGCCAAGTATCTCATGCCTAACAAAGTTTACAAGCCAACCATGAAATTATATTTTATTCAAATTTATATCAATAGTTGATAAAATGTGTATTTGTATACAAAACCATGGCTTTTCCCAGCGATTGGTCAAGCTGCCATTTGAACGGCTGCCTGCATCACCAGACGACCAATATTTTCAAAGACGGCTGAAAATTTGAAATTACAGATGATAATTTTGGTTTCAGAGTAATGGTCCATTACCTGTAAGTTCCAACAAGCACTGAAATCTTTGGCAATTATTGCAATCTCATTGGACTCTGCTGCTGCTGACACCAGTTTTCTTCTGTATGTCAAGGTGAGCATCAACTTTTCTTCAAGAAGAAGGAATTTCTGAAAGGCAGAATGTTTTTATCAATAAAAGCAATAATTTTTCATATTGCCTAATTGCATATTGATTTTTCTTAAAATGAAAGATTTTCTGGATTTCATATCATAATTGAGTGGTCTGCAACCTGGAAAACATTTTAGCATTCTTAACACAATTGCTGATCTTAAATGAAATGAAAATTTTCATCAGTTTTGTATAGTGCAAAAACCTTGCTCATACCCTCTACAGACTATAGGTACCATGGAGAATCCATTTTTTTTACTTTACAGAGGGGAGGGGATGGGGGCAAATGGTTAAATTTTGTCCCAAATTGCTAAGCACACCTGCATGTAAAAACATATGAAGAGATGCTAAGGTGGATGAAGTATTTTTCCTACATCCTAAAAAAACTGTTATACAGTGTATACTGTTTATTTGATTAAAATTTTAATAATAATATTCAAATACAAAATTTCATGAGCTTACCATTGGTAAACACCCAGCATGTACTTAATACCAATCATACCTGTATCCTATTGATAGCATCACAAGCTTCAAGGCCATGTTGTAGTCCCCAAGGTAGCAATAGACTGAGGCTTGTCCGTAGCATTTCAAACATGGCCAAGGACACAAATACATTTTGAGCTGTGAGGAAGTTGCCACTAAATATGTGAGTAGCGAAGGTACAAAACATGACCAATTTGCCAGTGGAGAAAAAGAAAGCTGTGAGAAGACCTCGGCAATATGATGTCTGACTTATCATGCTCATTTCTAACCTGAAAAAGTTTAATAATATCGTGTTCAAAATGTTCACATGCAGATAATAAACTCCTGATCACTTCAAATGTACAACATTTTAAATGTAACCCAGTGCACAAATATCATGTCACTTTTAGTTTAAAGATTTCATGTATAAATGCTGCCAGATGGTGTCTTAATTTATGTGTCTGATTCTATAAAATGCATCACAAAAAGTTTAGCTGTATATTTCATGGAAAAAAAAACAGTGAATAACTAGAATACCGCAAGCCATATACTATTCAAACTTGTCATAAATGAAGATAAAATTGCAAAAAATTAATGCTCCTGCAGAGGTTGTTCTCATTGTGTCTGGATGTGACTGCACAACCACAACCATCAAGTGTGGATGGCAATATACAACAGACATAAATTATCAAACCAACTATAAATGTGACACCACATCTGCTTAAAAAAAGTTTTTTGCTTACTTTCTTATTTTGGAAACCAGTCCCAAAAAAGGCATTTCCCAATTACAGAGTTTTACAAGTTTTAAGTTGCACAGCAACTCATTTACAATCTGAAGTCTTTGGTGTGTCAATTCTGAGATTCTTCCCCTGAAATAAGAAAAATATACATTTAATAATTATACCTTCCCTTTTTTAATCATAACAATTACATAAATTTTTCTAATCATTTTTTCTTTATAAGGCCACACTTTTTTAATTTTATGGATGACATCCTGCGCGCGCACGGATTTTCGCCCGTTCTCCAAAAAAAAAAAAAA